TAAGAGATGCAATGGAGGAAACATTAATACAATGGGATTTCCAATGAGAAAACACAAAAAAATACATTATGCACCTTTCTGGAAGAAGGATGTTCAGGCCACACTGATCATAATACTGATGCGTAAAAAATTGAAGCCTCGATAATCAAAGTTAAGCCTAGAAATCAATTAATCAAAGACAGTTCAAGCAAACCAAACGAACTTGGCCTACCCATTAATATGCTCACAAATGGAAATAGAGTATGGAAATACTAGCCAAGGATATTCACAATTACTAAGCTAAAAGAACTATGAATTTTGTGGTTAATGAAACTTTAAATGGTGCTCGTTTGTGACAGAAATTTTGAAGCATTATCACATAATGATGATTTAGAGACTTAAAAAAAAACAAAGACAATAAAGAATGCTTGGCAAAGAAATTGTCTTTACAAACTTCAAAAAAAGTACAGCCTTAAGAGGCTCACGCCACCCTTTAATTAGGTTTTAATAGATTTATTTCCCTTTAACCACAAATCTATTTAATTTTGACAGATTTAATTATTTTCGTCACAGATTTTTTCTTGTAGACACATATTTTCTTAAATTTTATAGACTTAATTAGTTTGTCATAAAATTATCTCTCGTTGGCCACAAATTTATTTTATTTTGATAGATTTATTATTATTCGATAGATTTTTTTTTGAGAAATTTTTATCAATGCCACTTTTCAAGTGTCACTTTACAAAAATGCCACACTTTTGAAATCTTTACAAAAATGCCATTTTTTCAAAATTATTTTTCTTTATATTATTTATGTTTGAGTTAATTATGTTCTATTAGGGTTTTAGTTATGAAGGTTTAGGAGGGTTTAGGGGTCAAAACATTTTTTACTGTTTAGAATTTTAAGATATAGGGTTTAAAAATCTATAATTAGTGGTATTTTTGCAAATAAACACCCCTAAATGACATTTTTGCAAATGTGCACATAAAAAGTGGCATTTTTGCAATTTTCCTTTTTTTTGCCATAAGTTTATATGGTAAATTTTGTTTTTGCCACAAATTTGTTTCTTTTTAACCATACACTAACTTATATAGGTTAACTGAACTATACCAATTTAGCTAAACAAAATCGAACCATACCATATCAAACCAAACTATATGGATTTCTTCTTTATGAATCCTCTAAAGCTTTCTCATTTCCACTGTTCATGAAATGTAATATACTGTATTTTATTCTCGCATCAAACACGGAATAAAAATACTTGAAAATAAAAAATTATAATTTTTATAATATGTTTGAAGAAATTAAAAACAAAAATATCAAATGGTGTATCTCTCATATAGATAAATATATTTTATCTTAGAAGTTTTAGTTTGCATGACATTAAATTGAATGTAAACGTTTTTAATGTAAATCAAATACGTTTGAGATTATTGGTTCTCAAACTTCTTTGAGTTCACCAAACCCAAAACATACCACGTACGTTAGTATGTAAATCATCTTAAATTAAGAAAGTGAAAATAATGGTTTTCGAAATTCAACCAATAATGTTTGATTTGTAAAATTGTACGTTTATAACAAATC